ATTTAAGTAAATTAATAAAACTGTCATTCAACAATTAATAACGTGAAAATATTTCTGGAAATAGTAAAATTATATTTATGTAATGAAATCAGTAATCATCTACTATAACGAATAATTCGTTAACACTATAACGAATTATTCGTTATACATTCTGCATAATTCGTTATAGCGTTAATGAAGATTCTTATAACGAAGTCCTGATCGGCTGGATCAGCAACTTCATTATATCGAGGTGTGACTGTATACAATAATGTATCGCTAAGTTTTTCATGGCTCAACAACTGCAGAAAGAAATACATTTCATCTTTCAGTAACAGAAAGAAAATGAATTTAGATAATATTTTGTAAATGCCATTAAATATCCATATATACTAAAACAATTGAATACTCTTTTCTAGAAGTGTGCTATATAACTTTTGAACATATTTATAAAAATATATCAAGTGTATCATATATATCCTTCAGTTATTAAATCATCATCTAACGGTATTAATATATATAAATTGCTTTCTTTAGGTTATGAAGTGACTGATCATTACCTTTCACAGGATTTTGTTACTTCTAGCAAACTAAATACCACCATTCTTTATGATTATTTGTATTGTGAATGTACTAACTATTTGATTGATAGTATTGTTCTCACATGTGGGTATAATTACCATAACCATTGTTTACAAAAATACCAATTTAAATGTTTAATATGTTTAAAGTATCTTTAAGATGAGGTCAAGAAAAATGTTGATGCTCTTATAACCAATTTTATGAAAAGATCGTATGAACAAGAATCTATTGAAAAAGATACTGGAAAAGATACAGCCAAAGATGATTTGAATAATGTAAATGAAATGAAGAATAATATTATAAGAATGGAAAATTTGTTAGAACATGCAAAAGAATCATTTTTAAAATTGTAAAAATTTTTATATTTATACATTTTGAAAATATATTTTATTATTTTATTATTAATTTCTTGGTTAACTAATAATTTTAATATGATGGGCTTTTAAAATCACGTGATTTTATTTCAAAAATCACGATTTCGATTGGTTGATCAATGCATCGCCTCCTTACTAAATTTGAAAATTTGTGTAACAGGGGACGGTCGTTCTATGGCGGAGATAGGTTGCACAAAGATCATCAAAAAGTACTGTAAAATGTATAAAAAAAAAATTATTAAATCGTGCAACCATTCTCCTTATTTGGGACGGTCCTTCCTGAATAATCAATTTAAAAAGTAATTTTTTGATCGATATACTGTAGATTTAAATTTTTTGATTTTGTCTTGAAAAATGAGGGTAAAAAATCCAAAACGTAATGGAAGCTCAGCATTAAAAAGGCTAAAAACTACTTTAAAGGACGTAGGATTAGTAGGACCAAAATCATGTTCAAGTACTAGTAAAAAGCAAAAACAAAAAGGAAACCCAGTAGATACCAGGAAAATTGAATATCAATCCAAGTTGAATAGTTTAATAAAAAATCAAGTAAATCCTTTCGAGTTAAAAATTAATAGGGTTAAACATGATGTATTGGGAAAGAAAATTAAAGGTATTCAAGGTAGACCTGGGTTGAAAAGACAAATTGGAATTGAGAAGGTTTGTATTTTAATTGTAATTTTTTTTTTGAATGGAATTGGGAGTCTTTTTTATATAAAAAACAATTTTTTTTTTTTTTGAAATTATAAGAGAAAGAAAACATTACTTGTTGAAATGGAAAATAAAAATAAAGTTGGAGGTGTAGTTGATCGTCGGTTTGGTGAAAATGATTTAAACATTTCACCCGAAGAAAAAATGTTGGAAAGATTCACTAAAGAACGACAGGTATACTAATTCGGTAAAATTTAATAATTCAATTAATATATTACATAGATGATATTAATATGATATTCAATAATAGAAACGATCGAAATCATCTTTATTTAATCTTGACGAAGAAGTAGATTTGACTCATTATGGCCAATCTTTGGCTGAAATGGATGCTTTTGATGATCCAGATTTGGTTCTAAGTGATGAGGACGATGAAGGTATTATTTAACTTAATTATAATTTTGCAACTACGTCTATGTATATAAAATGATAACACCTGATTACTAATTAGGTGTTATTGACATGAAGACTGTAGCTAGAAGTCACTTTGGCGGATTCGAGGATAATAATAACAATGTAAATTAACTACAACGTCCTGTAGTAAAATATTGAATTGATGCATACCTTATTAACATATTTTTTTTTGTATTATAATTTAGGACATTGAACGCAAAAAGTCAAAAAATGAAATTATGAAAGAACTTATTGCGAAGAGTAAAATGCATAAGGTTTTATTTATTTCATCTGTTGAGCTAATAATCTTTTATAGGCTAAAACTTATTTTTATCTAATTAGTATGAGCGACAATTTGAAAAAGATGAAGATGAAAAGGTTCGTCAAGAATTAGATATTGAACTAGATTCAATTCGTAATTTACTTATTATACCTCATAAACCTCATGATGAACCTTTAGAATCACAAGAGTCTGCTTTTCGGAAGGTATGTCGTAACTTTAAGCATTCTTTTTATAGTCTTTTTTTATACTCATAAAATATATATACGTTTTTAGCATTCTGAGATTGAGAATAAGTTTGAACCTAAATCGCATGAGAAATACGAAGAGTACGATAGAATTGTTCGTGAATTGGCTTTTGAAAAACGTGGGAGACCTACGGATAGAACTAAAACCGAGGAAGAAATTGCTTTGGAAGAGAAAGAAAGTTTAGAAAAATTAGAGGTAAAAATAGTTCATAAAGTTTCATAATTATAATTTTTTTTAGAAACTATCTATAAAATAATTCGTATATATATAGCGCGCAAGAAAAAGACGTATGGAAGGTATAAGCTCGGAATCTGAAGAGGATGATAAACATAAAAGGCGAAGACGTGTCCCAGTAGCTGATGATTTAGAGGATGATTATTTAGTTGATGAGGATATAGATGATTTTGGATTAGGAAAAGGAATTACTATAAAAGATTTTTCTACTGTTGAAAGAATGCAAGATAATGAATCAGATGTGACTGATATCCAAAGTGAGGAGGATGATGAAGATGACGACGAAGATGAAAAGGAGGAAGTTGAATATGCAGATCTTGATTTAAACAATGATAATCAAATCCAACTCTCTGAAGACATCGATGAAGAAGATATTAACGATTTTTCATCTGGTACAAATCGAGAGGAATCTCAAGTTAAAAAAACGAAAGTGAGCAAAAAGGAAAAGAATAAAAATGAATTGGCGTATACTTTTCCTTGTCCTTCAACGATGGAAGAATTTTTGAAAATTTTAGAGGATGCAGACGATGAAAATGTACCGATAGTAGTACAACGTATTCGAGTTCTTTATCATATTAAACTTTCTCCTGATAATCAAAAAAAATTGGAGGTAAAAATACGTTGTAGTACAATTATTACAATAACTACAATTTAATTTAACTTAATTTAATTTTTTTTTGACAGAAATTTTTTAATATCTTGATGGATTACATTTATACGAGAGTTCAAGAAACTCCATGTCCAATGCATTTAATAAATCGATTGTCGTTACAAATATTCGATTTAGTACAACAAGTTACAGAATATGCTATAAAGTATTTTATAGAAACAACCAATCATCTAAAAAATGATTTAATAAAAAATTTTAAATTTCCGAAAATCACTGGACTTATTTATTTTAAACTATTAGGAAAAATATTTCCTACATCAGATTTTCATCATAATATCATGACTCCAACTTTATTATTGATAGGGCAATATTTGACTCAATGTCATGTTATTAATGGGAAAGATTTAGCATCTGGATTGTTTTTGTGTAATATACTATATGAGGTAAATTAACTTTTTTGTGGTTATTTAAAGTCATTGAAATAAGTTGACTGAAAATTCTTTGTTTTTTATTTAGTATCAAACTTTATCACGACGTATTGTTCCTGAAGCAATTAATTTCTTATTTACGACACTTGTATATCTATCACCAAACAACACATTCAAAGATACATCATTAATTCCCGGAACATTCCCATTTCCCAATGATATCGATTCTATACCTTCCATACTTCAAATAAAGTGTGGGAAAAAAATTGATGCTCAATTGTTAAAATTTTCCGAAATATTAAACGGGAAAGTTGATAATTTAGATAACGACAATTTTAGGTAATATATATATTTTTATTTATTTATTTATTTCCATTCTCAAACCATGAACGTAAAATTTTATTAAAGGTTTCTTATTATCTCTTTTATTATTATTTTTTTTATAGAATATCTGTATTATCAGCTACTCTACACATTATTGAATTATACGCAACATTATATAATTCTACTCCTGCTTTTATAGAATTATTCAATCCTGTATTGAAATTGTTATCTAATTATCCATTAGATAAATTTTCAGAAACAACTAAGGTATATTTTACATTATCAATTTTTGTGGAATTTTCTATTAAAGAAAAAAATATATTTTTGATTTTTTTTTTTTTTAGAATAAAATAAATGCTACCCAAGAAGTGTTGCGAAGACTTCAAAAGTTTTCTAAACAAAATAGAAAACCACTTGAATTGCAGCATCATAAACCAATTCCTATTCCCACGTACATTCCCAAATTCCAAGAAAAGTATAGTATCATTTATTATTTTCTCCAACTTAATTTAACATTTATTTCTATAATGTATTTAACCAAATCTTTTGTAAACTCCACTACTTATACAGCTTTTCTATTCATCATGACCCGGATAAAGAAAGTAGAAAGATAAATAAACTTAAATCACAATATAAGAAAGAATATAAAGGAGCAATAAGAGAATTACGTAAAGACAATCGATTTATCGCAAGGCAGCATATCAATGTAGTTAAAGAAAAAGATGCTATTTATAAAAAGAAAATCAATTTTATTATGGGAAAACTTGAAAATGAACAGGGTGAAAAGAAGGCTTATGAAAAAGCTAAAAAATATGGTAAATTATAAATAAATAGTCCATAGGAAAATATTTATTAAATGAGAGGAATAAAATTGTCTAGATACAAGTTATAAATATATTTCGCCATCTTAAGTTCATCATCTTAAAAGAATTTCCAATTTTTACAATCTTCACAATTTTCTTCTTTAAAACATTCAGCAACTTCTTCTTCACCTTTGGTTATTTTATCCCATTTATCAATAACTTTTTCGATAAAAAGTTCTAGTCCATGCTTAAGTATATTCGAATTCCAACCTAATTTTGATTTTGTATCATATAAACATGAAAAACCAACATGACATTTAGTTTCCATCTTGTAATTAAAAAATAAAATTTTATTTATTTTTTGGTTAGCATATATGTCATATTTAAAATTAGATATTATTCTAAAAAAAAAAAATTTACTTACAGCATAACCCCAATGATAACAAGTACTTGTTACGCCATTACATGCACCCATAAATATAGGGTCGGCAGTATGACCAAAATGATAGATGTTAGGGTTTTGAGTCGTATTTAATCCTAATCTTTTTGCATATAATAATTCTCCCGGTGCTTGAAATGCAAATGCCGGCAAATTATATTTGATCGCTAATAACGACGCTAATGATCCACCTAATAAGATAGGAAGAGAATATAAAGTTTTGAGATAAGGTTTTGAATTAAAATTGTTAGGTTACTCACCTAATGAATGACCTGTTAACCAAATTGTGGCATTTGGAAAATCTTCTTTAACTTTTTTAAATATTTCCTAAATCATTATAACATCTATTATTTCACATTAAATAAATAAATAAATATAATAACAATGAAATTATATACCAAAGCAGTATTATAATAAGAATCTTTAATATTAGTTTCTTCACTCAAACACTTCTTTTCACAATTCCAACCACCTTTATAACATCCACATACACCTTTCCATGTTCTATCAACTTTTGCACAACAGCAAGAAAACATTAAATTATCCTATATGTGATTATATTATAAACAAAAAAAAAAGAAAGAGGATTTTAATGTTAAAGTTGATCAAAAGTTGAATGAATTATTTTGTTACATCATCAACTTACATTAAGTTTGTCATGTTTTTCAAGTGGTTTACCAGCATGTGGTATATCAATATAAGCTGGGTCCGTTCCTTTTATAGCAACAATAACAGTTGTATTTTCCCTATCAGAAAAAACATAACCTCTAATACCATTTCCTTCCCATCCAAATGGTAATTCCTAAATTTGTTTAAAAAAAAAAGAAAAAAATTAATATCAAGTTAAATTCTCTCGTTAAAAGAAATTACTTACATTCCAATCACCGTCTAAATCAATCCATTTATATTTTAATGATTCTAATGATTCTAATTCGATGTAAGCATCATAAGACATTTTAGCCATAGACAAAACAGTCTTCTTATCTTTATGAGGTACTTCCTTCCTATCAAGCTTATCATTTAAACAATTTATAGGCTTCTCATTTTCCTTTGAGTTATCAATAAATATACTATTGATTACATGTTCATCGAAAATTGCAGTGGTGGTGTGAAGTTCTTTTTCGATATCTTTAATGATTAACTTCCTAAAAAGTTGAATTGTGGAAGGAGTTACACCATGATGATATATTTGCTTTAATTTAAGTGTTTTTGTGTTCGTTTTGATGTGATGTTGAGGAATGTCGAGAATTCTTTGTTGTTCGATATTATTATTATTAGATGCGAAAGGAATTTGCCGAGGAAATGTTGCAAAAGAAAAGATGATATATTGTGAAAGTATAAGAAAAACTTTAAATAATAATGTTCCACGCATTTTATAAAGTTTAGTGTTTTAAAGAAGAAACATTTTAAAAAAGAACTAAATAAAGCAGTATTTATCTGAATTTAATAAAAGCATTTTCTGTGTTCCCAACCCTGCATAAAAAGATTAATTGAATGACATTTAAGATTTGTAGATTTGTGAAATTTTTTTGAAATTTTTAATTTTTTAATTTTTTAAATAAAATGTCAAATCAAACAAAATCAAGTTTAACGAGTGGTCCAACAAAAAAAACTTCATACAAAGCCCCACTTCCATTATCACTCTCTCCTTCCTTCTTGTCTCGTCTTATCTCTTTTCTCTTCCCTTTCTCTTCTCCTACGACCAGGAGAATTAAAGGTAAGTTTGATGAAAAATCTCAAGCTGTTATAATATCTAACAGAGAAGACATGGAACAATTATGGAAAGAAGGATTCTTTGGTAAAGGTAGTTTAAGTCGGAGTGAGCCTACCTGGTTTTGGAGAAATAATAATGGGGAGAAAGGAAAGGGTAAACAAAAGTTATCAGCTGAACAAGTAACGGAACAACGTAGAATCGCTAGGAAACGAAACAAGAAATCTCGTGCTAAACAGGCTCAGAATGTGGAAGTTGTTCAACAGGAAATAATTATCAAGGAAGATGTCAAAGTTATCAATATCGAATCAGTAAATACTCAAAAACAAATCATAGAAGAATTAACGCAAGAGGATGAGACGGTTTTATCAGAGGACATAGAGAACTTGATATTAACAACGCAAGAAGCATTCTTTTTATGTTATGGTTTAGGAATAATCGATATATACGATTCACGAGATGTAAAGATGATAAATATATATTATTATTTTTTTATTTCTTTCCTTTATCGTTAATATTTAATTTGTATATTAACAATAGAATTTATTGAGCTTAGAAGAATGTTGGAAATCATTTCATACTGCACCAAATATGAACCTAAATCAAGATGATTATGAAAATTCGTTTATCATAAGATACGTCGTATATCATTATTTTCGTAGTTTAGGATGGGTTGTTAGATGTGGTATGAAATTTGGTGTAGATTATGTATTATATGAAAAGGGGCCCGTGTTTAAACATTCCGAGTAAGTGATAAATTTGATTCACAACAAATCACGAAGGAAAGTGACAAATGATACTATTAAAATTTCTTATTAGATATGCTGTGATAATATTACCAATTCATTCATCCCAAGATTCATCACAGTCCTTACATTCCTGCGATAATTTATTAATAGATTATCGAAGTAATTGTATGACATCTTGGAGCTGGATGATGAATTTAAATAGAGTTTGCGTACAAGTAAAGAAGGTAAAAACTTCTTAATTAATTAATCTTTTCTATGTATTTTAAAAATTTACTTATGTTTATAAAATTTTAGTCATTAATCTTATGCTATGTAATCATCCCACCATCATCCATGAACAATGCCACGATTACAGAATGTATAAAGAAATATGATATTCAACAAGTATTAATTAAAAGATGCATTCCATCAAAATTTAAATAAATCTAAAAAAAAAAAAAAAAAAGAACCATTTAAGTAACCACCTTCTCTTCTTTCATGTTAGCAAGTAATTCTTCTAAAGCCCCTTCATTCCAAATGTCATAAAAAACAAACAAGTCATAAGTTTCTTTTAATTGTCTTAGTTCTTCAAGATCTTCGGAAGTTGGCCAGTAAAATTCACCATGTAATTTATCATAATAATAAATATTTTGAGCACATTTTTCGTCCATATGAGTTTTTATACCAATATGTGATAATTCATGATCGCAAGATCTATTATCATTTATAATTAAAAAAGTGAGTATCGCTTGATCTTGTCTGTGATTTGCTCTACTACTACCTTTTGGTGCTATACAATTTTTTACTAAAGCGCACTCATTCCATTTATCTATTAAATATTGCGTCTTGTTCGTATCAAACACTATCGCAGCTCCGTTACAATTAACATAATGTTTACCCCTATACATAGAAGTACTTTGATTGAAATATTTAAACACTCCAGGATGTGTCCATTTTAAAAAACTTCCACTTGATTTTGGACTTAGAAATCCGTTATTTTGTTCGAGTAAAATTTCCAAATTAATAAAAAATTCTGAAGTGATAAAGCTACCGCTATCTAACCAAATTATTATTCCAGGATATGTCATCGAGACTTCTTTAATTATGCCAGATTTCCATGCGTACTCCCCTCTATTGTAATCAATATTCCAAAATTTTGGATATTTTTTATAATCAAATTTAATTAATTTATCAAAATATTTTCCTTTCTTTTTTAATAATCTTAACACTTTCTTTTGATATTTCGCTATTCCTAAGTCATAAACTATTATCCTTGGTTTTTGTTCTTCCGAAAGATCTTTTAATGTATCTGATATTTTATATAACCAACTTTGTAACGCGCAAAAATGATTATCACTTGCCGCTGTTACTATTGTATATGGGTATGTTCTATTATGTACTTTTTCATTTGTTATCGCTATAAAAGAGGAACAAGGCAATTATTACAAATAAAAAATAAAAATAAAAAAATAATATATATTGTAAAACCTTCATGCTTACCAGTTCCATAATTCGGTATAATTTGATCACTAAATTTCATCAGTAAAAACGAGAATATGATGAAAACCAAAACTAATTTTATTGTTTTTATCGTTTTAATCCCCAAACTATTCATCTTTAAAAAAATAAAAAATAATAAAAATTTTTGAAGATATTTGGAATAAAATGTCTTAAATGAAAAAAAAGTGAGGGAGGTTTTTTGTTTAAAAGTTTTTTTGGTTTTTATATATATCATTAATGTCGATCATTCATTACAATAATTTATATAATTTATTAGATGCAATTAATATTTTTCCGATGCATATCTGTGTATGATCGAATCATTGATTCATTCTTGTGTGCGCATAATTAAAAAGATATTTTTAGGATTTAAATATATATAAACCTTACCCATCTCTACAAATTGTAAATTGTTGAAATATGCAATATATTTAAATACATAGCTTTACCATTTTTTGATTTGAATATTGATATCCTTCGAATCGAAATATGACAAATATTGATAAATATTGATACAGACCTGTCTAAGGATTACCCCTTTTGATTTTTTTAAAATTACGAACCTATATATAATCACCTGTAGTATTGTTTTTTAAATTGATGATACCAATTGGTAATAAATATTTTGAAGATAATAAGATTTTCTTTACAAGGCATTGATCTTATATAAATTATAATTATAAATAAAGATATGATTAGCAATTTGACCAGTGTAACTCGTGTGTCTATTATTATTACTTATAATGTCTACAAAATTTCCGTTCAATAATTGATTACCAAGTGTGAATTTTTTTTTTAGTAAGATCGCTCCGGACTTGAGATAATTATACTAGGAAACGGGGGACCGTTGGACGAAAATCACGTGGCGGACAGAGAAACGCTCACATGATCAAAATTTACTCAATGCACAGTAATAAAGTCCTTCGCTTCGCTCAGGACAATAATATAAACTAGGAAACGGTGACCGTTGTGAGTCCTGAACGAATTATTGAACGAAAATCATGTGGCGGACAGAGAAACGCTCGGATGGACAAAATTTTCTCAATGCACAGAAATATATAGTCCTTCGCTTCGCTCAGGACAATTAAGTCAGCATGTAAAAATTTCATGTTAAAAGTATAAACTGTAATCTACCTATTTGTCTTCAAAAGATTAATACATTTTTTTTATACATCTAACTAAATCTAATGGTACATGACTATAATAATGATTTTAATAATTTGTAGTTATCATGGTAATTATAATAGGTAATCTAATTTTATATTGAAATAAGGGTTTGTATTGCAAACTTTTATATGAGTTTTTTCATGTTCATGTTTGTGTAAGAAAAAAATCTATAAATTAAAACTGAGATCATAGGAAACGAAGGTGAAAATATAAGTATTTTTAAAAAAAAAGTATTTTTATAATATGATTTAATTAAATCTATATAAACTTAATTTATAAAGTTTTTTTTTAATAAAAATTTACATAAGGTGTAAATTTAGAGGGTAATTAAATTTGAAAAAAAAAACTTAATTTGATTCAAATTTTTTTTAATAAATTAAATAAATATTTATATAATCAATAATATTAATAATATTTAATTATCATTATAAATCATGTGAAATTTAATGTTAAAAATTAGTAAACTTTATTAAATAATAATTTAATTTTACATAAAACTAAGTTAGATAATAGTTTTACTCAATCTAATAAGGGTAGTGACATTTATTATGTAATATCCATTAATTATAAGCTCATATTCTTATCTTTATCTTATAATAAATAATCTTAGATTATACTACAGTCAACTCTTGATATAACAAACTCTTGATATAATGAATTTTTTGAACAAATATAATAAAAAATATTCTTGTTATAGCGAATTGGCCAATCAAATCTCTTAAAATCTTCATTATAACTTTATAGCGAAGTTGAGGTCTAGAACATAGAGTTTGTTATAATAAGAGTTAACTATATATATATACTAAGATCTTTTAATCCTTTAATTTATTATATAATAAATGTTACTACCTTAAGTCTGATCCAAGTCTTATATTTAAAATAAAAAAAAAAGAATATAGAAATATTAAACAAATAAAAAAGTAAATTAAAATAAAAATGAAACTTACTATATTCATCTAAAATCCAAAATTAAAAGAGTTAAATAAAATATCTAAAAAATAAAAGTAAATAATTATTAAACAAATAAAGACTAAAATAAAATAAGAAAATAAATTTACCACCTTAAATTCAGCTAAAGAACTTAAAAATCTAAAAAAGAAAAAATTGATTAATAATAATAACTAAATAAAAGAATAAAATAAAGTAAAAAAATGAATTTACTGTCTTGAATTTAGCTAAAATGTTGAAAGATTTAAAAAAAATAGTTGCTTCAAATAGTGAAATAATAAAATAAAATAATAAAATAATTATAAAAAAGGTTAACTGTATATTATCAATTATATATAAATTACATATAATTAATAATTTATATAAAATATTCTGATAAGTATATATGCATTTTTTTATTATCAAAATTGTTGGTTTAGTAACTTTTCAAGATTTTCTTTTATAATTATATAAGATTTCTATACTAGTTGATAAAATATATGAAAATAGAAATAGTCTTCAAAGTATTAAAGAATCAAAATAAGAACTATTTTTGAGATATAATTAAGATAAAAATTGAAATTTTGATTTTGATTTTAAAAAATATTAATCTAAAAGAGGAACTTTACAATAATATTAAATTAATTATTTTATTAGCATGTAATTTATGCAGAAATCTTGACAGTTTTACATTTTAGATGAAAGGTGTTTATTTTTTTAATATTATCAGATATAGATTTAGCATTTTAATTAATATATTATTAGTTTCCAATTTTTTGGCTTTGTCATAATCATCAATAAAGTTTAAGGTTAAATGATACTATATATGAATTATATTTGCTTAATTCTATATTTTCTTATAGATAATTATATGTAACTTTAAAAAATAATATTAAAATCTTAGTTAAAAATAATTATGTTAAGGAAAAATAAGGTGTATATATAAAAAAAATATTGTATATAAAGAAATTCTTTAATTTAAAAATTTATATATATTCTAATTTGTATATAATATTAAAAGTACTTAAATTATTTAATTTTATTTATTATTTATATATAATTTTAAAAGTATTTGACATAATTTAATTTAATTATTTTTTAATAGTATATAACTTTAGAAATATTTATATTATAATTTAATTGTATATATTTATTCAAAAGTAATTATAAAATTAATTTATAGATTATTTTACAGTTTACAATAAGCAATGTATGATTGATTAGAATTTTGTCACTTCATGGCAAAATCCTATCCAACCTTATAAATTTTAGTATTAGAGATTTATTAAAAACAAATTAACATTAGAATTAGAGTTGGGGTTAGATTATTTATTAAAAACACCATGTTAGGATTAGAGTTAGGGTTAGGTGATTTATTAAAAAAAAACCAATTACAAGTTAGGATTAGTATTAGGGTTAGGGTTGGTTATTTATAAAAAATATCAACAGATTTTATGATTTATTTCAACTATAAAAATATGTTAAAACTTTACATTTTTTCCGTTGCGATAGCGACTCCGGGGCATCACCCGGTAGAGCTAGTAACTTTATATTTGCCTTATAACTAAACAGAAATTTGAATTAGAAGACTTATAAGTCAGATACTCTTATCATTTATTAAGAGATCTATACCCTCTTCTAATGAACAATCGCTACTAATAAACTTTGTAAAGATTTGTGAAAAGTTTAACGATTTTACTGGTATATTTTCGATAGATAGCGCAAAGTCGTGTTATGTCAAAAATATTTCTAATGCAATTTTTTAAATCTCCAGGTATGACAAATGACAGACAATCTACGATTTTCCAATAAAAAATTTGTATTACATAGTTTAATCTTAAAATCAATTTTTTTTTAAAAAAAAAAAATCTCAACGCGTTCTTTTGATAAAAAAAAAACATATATAATGACATTTACAACAACTTTACGCAATGTTTCTTCAAAAATAGTAATATTAAATGGCTATAGAGGATATACTCGACCAGCAATAAAAATTAATAATATTACCAAGTTTGGAAGTTCGTTGTCAATATTTTCGAGACAATATGGCAGTACGTACTTGATTTTTTTGCGAACTGAGAATTAAAGATATTATTAAGATAATTAATTCATTTTGAAATATTTATAGCAAAGAAATATACTAAGGACCATGAATGGATTAGCGTTGATAATGGAGTTGGTATAGTTGGTATCACTGATTTTGCTCAAACTGCTCTTGGAGATGTAGTTTTTGTAGAAGTACCCGAAGTTGGAAAGATTGTTGAGAAGTCTGGTAAATATTATTTAAGAAATTCTCTCTATGCGTTTGCTATAAAATTTAATATCCTTACCGAATTTTTTTGTATAATTTTTAATAGGATTTATTGGTGCAGTGGAAAGTGTTAAAGCCGCTAGTGATATTTATGCACCTGTTAGTGGTAAAATAACTGAATCTAATAATAAGCTTTCAGATGAACCAGGTTTAATAAACAAATATCCTGAAAGTGATGGTAATTAATTTTTTTTAAAAAACTTTTATTTTTTTTTTATTTTAAATTAATTTTTTTTTTTTTTAGGATGGATATGTAAAATAGAATTATCTGACCCTAAAGAGTTAGATAAATTATTAGATGAAACAGCTTATAAGGAAATAACATCGACCCATTAATTATGTAGAATTTTTGGTTTCTTCTAAACGAGGAAAAAAAAAAATTATCAAGTATCATATTTATAAAACATAAAGTGTTTTTTTTTTTAAAGTACATTTGGAGGAAAATTTTGCGGTGGTTTGCTTTTTTTTTAAAAAAATAAAATAAAATAAAATAAATCAATCAGATGAGAAAAAAAAAAAAAAAATAATTCTTTAAACTTGCTTACTCTCTAATTTCCCAAACATCTAAAGAATTCTTTTCTTTACTTTTTTGTTCTGCCTTAAGAGCTTCTCTTTCCAATATAATTTTCTATCCA